CCTTCGGTTGTCCACAAGTTCGTTGATAATGTCCTCGTCGGGCCACACCAACAGCTCCTCGCACTTGTTGTGCAGCGCCGCGAGCGTGGCCAGCCCGTCGTCGGAAAGCTGCAGCAGCGCTCTCGGGGCGATTCGGCCTGGGCGCGAAGCCGCGCGAGCCGCGAAGGTGGCGCATGCTCGACGAAGCTGGGGTCCAGCCAGAAGTACAAATGGCCCCCAGCACTCGCCGTCAGCCGGCGCCTGCAATGGGCCCAACCCATGGCAGCCCCATACCTCCTTCCATCAACTCAACTCGCGTTCGGCCAGCACGCGGGGCTCCCCACAAACCGAAGCGCTGACTACGTCCTGCAATCCTTTGACCGCGGTGGCCCGATGGGCTTGCCCCGAACCGCCTCCACTGAACGCTTGGTGCGCCCATTCCATGAAATTGACATTCTTCGCCGCGTGATCTGGCTGAATTTGACTCGCGGCCCCCCTCTGTAAAGCCTCGGCCGTAGCCAGGAAATCATCAGCAATAAATAAATTTGAGCCCATGCTGTAGAATGCACCGGCCCATGCAGGGAGCTCGTTGAAGACGCCTGTTTTCCCAACAAACGCGTGCAGAAAATCCGGACTTCGAGAGAGAGAAATTCACCACGCCGTCAAACTGATTCTCGCTGAGGGTGCACATCGCGTTGGCCGGCTGCAAACCCCGGGTCTTGATCTGCATGGGCCTGCGCGTGGAGACCAGGTGCTCGGCCCACTTGGCTGCCGATCCCCAAGCACGCGCCCGCGCACTCTGCTGGGGCCTCAAGCACGGTGGCTTCCACTTTCTAACCACCCACTTGGTTCGAAGCTCGCCTCCACGACCGCTGCACCTCTCACGATCGCGCCCAGTCACATACCACCGATCAACCAGCTCACTCTCAGCCTCCATAAGCACAGCAACCCATGCCACCTTGATGTTCGTCTGGCTGGACGCCATGGTGATCAGGTCCTGCACTCTTTGCCAATCCCGCGGTGGTCCGGCACACCCGATTGGCGGCGGCGCCCCGCTTGAAGCCGGATCCAAAAGTACTCGGCGCCACGTGGGGACGCGTTAGTGCTGCCTCATCCAATTCGGGCGGCTTGGCCTCTGTGGCCAAGTTGGCCGCCGCGATCGCGCTGTCTATGCCTGATCTCACCTCGCCCTGGCGGCGCGTCGTGGCCGCCGCGGCCATGGCCACTCCGCCTAGCGAATGGATCCAGCTACGCCCGAGCTCACCATGCGCGGGCTCCCGAGACCACGACCCCTCGCGAAGTGCACTGAATCCGCGCCCCCGAGACCACGATCCTGCTTGTAATGCATGCTACACTCGCGCCCCCGAGGCCAGGAACCCTCGCGAAGCATCCCATGCTGGCGTCGGCTTCGCGATCTCTAATGACTTACGCCTTGCCCGCGCCTCCGAGGCCACGAACCTGCAAAAATTGCGCCAGACTCGCGCCCCCGAAACCACTGCCCCTGGAGAGAGAAGAAAAAAAACGAAGAAGAAGAAGAAGAAGAAGCAGAAGAAGCAGAAGAAGAAGAAGAAGAACAAGAAGAACAATAAGAACAAGAAGAACAGTAATAATAATAATAACAACAACAATAATAATAAAAATAGTAATAATAATAATAATAACAATAATAATAAGGAACACAATCAACACAACAAAAAAACGCCCAAGTCGCGCGATCTCAAGCAACCCCCAACCGCCCCGAGGGTGCCTCTAATACACGGCGCGAAGGGAAGTTCGGAAAACCAAAAAAACAATACTCAACAATAGGATCTGGATCTCATTTTGTCTTGGGGGCTACCGACGACCCTCGCACGAGGCTTCGATATTGCCTCACGACGGCGCCCAAGCATCCCTACATGACTCTTGTTCGCCCCATTAAGATAAAGAGGGGCGGCGGCAGAGGTCGACGCCCTTACGATTACTACGCGGAGTATATTTCGAGGGCCGACGCACCGAAAAGACTGCGAATCAGGCAAATACCAAAAAAACGCAGGCGGGATTGAGGAGGAGGAGGAGGAGGAGACGGAAGGAGGTGGGATAATGATGGAGAAGGGAGGAGGAGAGAGGAACATCAACAACAACAACAACAACAACAACAACAACAACAACAACAACAACAACAACAACAACAACAGGAGGAGGAGGAGGAGGAGGAGGAGGAGGAGGAGGAGGGGGGAAGGATGAATGAGGAAGGATAAAGGAGGAAGGAGGAGCATGAGGAACAGCTGGGGGAAAAATAAAATCAGGGGCCGAGGTTTCGGAGCGCCTGGGGCCAATTTCTTGACTCCCGGGACACCTGGTCTAAGCCTCTGGGGCGCCTCCGGAGACCCCTGGGGGCCTCCTGGTGACTCCCTCTGGGAGATCTCCTGCAGGAGAAGGAGGAGGCAAAGGAAGGGGAGAACGAGAGGAGGAGAAGGAGGAGGAGGAGGATCGGAGGTTCGAGGACGAGGAGGAGGAGGAGGAGCATGGGCACCCAGAAAGAAAACGGGAAGAAGGCAATCGGACACGGTGCGAGAAGAGGGCCAGATGATGGTTTTCCCGCGCCACGGCCGCCCAAAAACTAGTTCTCTGAAGTCGTAATCGCTGATGATGGCTTGAGCATCGCGGAGAGCTGTGCGTTGAAGGACTGGCGCTCGACCCGCGGAGAGATGTGCGTTGAAGGACTGGCGCTCGACCCACACCAGCTGCTCCGCGATCGTGGTGGAGGTCAGCTGCTCGGTCGATGCAGACGCCGCAGCAGGCGGCGAAAAAGAGCTCCAGGTAGCAGAACTCGTTGATGGCGCAACGGTGTGCGTCTTCTCGTCGGGCTCGGGCGGCAGCGCCATCTCGACGGTCCCTCTCGGCACTAGCACGTCGGCAGTCTCGCTCGGCGCGAGCTCGGTGTCGGAGTCCACGGGCTTGTCCGTGATCCGCGGGGTGGAGAGGTCGATGGCGTTCAGAACCTTCTCGAAGCCGCTACTGCACGCAGGGCTCCGAAGGCGATCGCAGAGGTCGTTGAAAAAACTCTCGAAGTGGCACGAGCTGCCCCGACGGTCAGAAAACACCTCGTGGCCTTGAAGCCGCCGTATGCGTTGCTCAAGGGAGTCGATACGCTGCTGCATCTCCAGCGCGTCGCTCTCGGTGGTTTGGCAACGCTCCTCGAACTTGTCGACGATCTTGCTCCGCGCATTGTTGACCTTGAGCGCCAGCGCAGAGAACTGCAACTTCAGCTCTTCGGCGGTGGTCTGGGGCCGCTGCATCTCTACGAACTTTCGGCGTGGATCTTCAGGAGCTGGAGGCGGTGCAGACGCCACGCGGGTCTGCATCAAGGCGGCAAGCTCGGAGCGCGCGTCGACGACCTGCTGCTGGATCTCGCTGGTCTTCGCCACCAGCTCCGTGATAACCTACTCTTGCAGGGAGGCGATGGCGGGCTGCGTGACGTTGGAGAGCCAAGCGGATTGCTGTGTGTTGAAGGACTCGGACCGAAGCGTGAAGCACGCCTGCAGCCTGGAGTCGAGCTTCTGGTCGACCATGGAGAGGAGCGAGCCCTTGAGCGTGAGGATCTTCTCGTCATTCGTGGCGTGCAAGGTGTCGCTGAGCTGCGTGGCGTGCCGGAGAGCGGCCTCCACGGGCCCCGCGGCGCACTCCGTCTCGGGCGGGGAGGACGCGGCCAGCGAGTTCGGCTCGGGGAAGACGACGTCGCAGGCGCCCGCCCAGGAGACGCGCTGGTCAGCAGAGGGCAGAGCAGACATAGTGGGGGGTGTGGTACTGCTCGCAGGTGAGGTGCGAGATGTAGCAGTCCAGCATTTGTGGCGAGCGATGTTGCCAGCCATGCTCTGGCGCTTGAACTCCTGCACCTCTTGCGGGGAGAGGTGGCCCTGTGCAGCCGCCGCAGCGCAGAGTTCGGAGCCGTTCCGCCTGTGGACGCCCGTCTTCGTCTCAAGAATGCGCACGTTGTCGGTCGCCTTGGCGAGCATCTTCGCCTCGCGGGATACGGCTGCTGGGACCGTGATGCGAGCCAATGCCGGGCCAGCACGAGGGTGTAGGAAGCCTTTGTCCACCGCGCGTTGGCGGCGCGCGTCAAGGGCGGCGAGTGAAAGGCGACCGCGAGGACGTACTGGGTTGTTGAGCATCACCGCGAGTGCAACGTTGATGAAATTGAACGAGAAGACGACCCGGAACATCATGCCATGGCCTCCGCGCTTGCAGTCGCCGTTCGGGTCCCTGCTCGGGTCCCGGGGCTGCGCGCGCTTGGGATTGGCTCTTGAGCCAAAATGGCTACGGAAGGAGGAGGAGGAGGTGGAGGAGCAGGAGGAGGAGGACAACCGGAGGACAACGGGAGGACGAAGAGGAGGAGGAAGAGGACGATGAGAAAGAATAAAGGAGAGAGGAGGAGGAGGAGGAGGGAAAGGAGGAGGATGATGAAGACGAGGAGGAGGAGGAGGAGGAGGAGGAGGAGGAGGAGAAGGACGAGGAAGAGAGGAGGAGGAGGAGGAGGAGGAGGAGGAGGAGGAGGAGGAGGAAGTTCGAGGTTTTGTGGATCGAACCGTGGAATCGGATGCCGATGTTTGGAAGCGGAGGCCCAGGCGGCTCCAAGAGTCGAGACCCCTTCCACCCGCCCCAGGAGGTGACGAGTGAGGAGGAGGAGGAGGAGGAGGAGGAGGAGGAGGAGGAGGAGGAGGAGGAGGAGGAAGAAGAGTCTCGTCCCAAACACATTCAAGCAACAATCCATGCCTGGTCAGGTATGCTCTGGGTTGGGATAGTGGAAATTGCCTGGGACCCCTCTCTCGCTCCACTTCAATCTGGAACCTGCCGTGCCTGTCAGAAAACAGGCACGGGCGGATGCGCCCTTTTTAGCGCTAGCGCGGGGGACGCTATGTGCGAGGCGAGGGGGGAGAAGGAGTGAGGCGAGCGAGGAGGAGTGCGAAAGAGTGAGCAGGAATGAGTAGGAGAGGTTCTAGGTGCTTTGCTTTTGCGGGTGCCGCTTTGGGGTATCGGGGGGCCTCTGGGTACGGTCCAAGCTTCCGCCACTCGACTCCCCACTCATCCGCCAGCGACTTGCGCGCCTCGGATGGGGCCCGCTCCTGCTTCGACTTCAGCTGCTCCACCTCCTTGAGCAAGGCCGGGCTCTCGGTGACCTCGACCTCCGGTGTCCCGCGCGCCACCGAGCATGCCGCAGCGCAGGAGCAGCTGGGACGGCAGGAGCAGCGGCGAAGGAAGACCGAGAGCAATAGGAGAATCCGACCTGTACGGTCGGGAGTTTCTCGTTCCAGGGCCTTCCTCGGAGCAGCACTGGGGCGCCCCGTATTTTGTTATGCCTTCCCGTGGCTGGCTTCCCTCGCGCGGAGCTGGACTTTGCAAGTTTGGCGCGCAAGGGCGGAGCGGATCTTGGAGCAAAAACAATATCGATGACACGCCGCCGCGGGAACCCATTAGCGCATTACTACTGAGAAGAAGCACCAGGCCTTCGGGTTACCAGCAGCAACGTGTGATTGATATTTTTGCTCCCTCGCCAGATCCTTGGCGTCGTCATTTTTCCACAACGTGGTTCTCCCGTGGTCTGGACCCCTTCACCTGGAACGCCCTCTCATCCCGAGCCGGTTTCTGAATGTCGTGGAGCCCGGCGAGCGCACCCGGATGCCGACAAGGATAATAATAATGATACCAATACTAATAATACCCAAACTCATAATAATACTGATAATAATAATAATGATAATAATAATAATAATAATAAGAATGATAATGATAATAATACGAATAATAATAATAATAACAATAATACTAATAATAGTAATAGTAATAATGATAATAATAATAATAATAATAATAATAATCATATTAAGAAAGAGAAGAAGAAGGAGAAGGAGGAAGAAAAAAACAAAAACAACTATATTTTTTGGCGACGAAAACGCCGAACGGACTCCGCCGTCGTGTCGGCCACCCGCAAATGGCAGCAGGGGGAGAAGGGAAAGTTTGCACGGGCCTTGCGAACGCATGGAAAATGACCCCCGCCCCCCACACGAAGAACTTTATAAGAATGGGACCGTCAAACGACGCGTGCACTGCAAGCAGAAACAGCCCGACGGCTAGCCAATGACAACGCCGCGCAATTCAATGCTGACGGCGCGCTGCTGCTATGCTCGCTGGCGCTTGACGAACTTGGCGTTGCTTTGCGCTGGCGCGCTTTCAATGCCCAAAATGATTGTGCACGTTCGCGCGCTCGTGCCAGGGCAAAAACCATGGGCGCGTCGGCTCTTGGCGGCGTTGGCAAGAGCCCAGGACGGCGCCCGGGGCCCGCCCCGCAGGAACGCGCATCGAAAAGTTCATGCCCACCCCAACAGCAAAGCTCAAGCACCAGGCGGCAAAAGCGTATATAAACTCGATGTAAAATCGATCTAAACTTCTCCGAAGCGAAAAATCTCGCGCGGGAAGGCCCTGGAAAGTCCATATAGGCAACAAAAATGTTGGTATAAACGCCCAAAAAGCTTTCTATTGGAACAGCTGCCTCAAGCAAGAGAACCGCTCCCGATCTAAATTTTTCCGTCGGCGGGTTACGAGGGGGCGACGGAGGCGGGGGCGGGGGCCCGCGGCTGGGCCGGCGGCGCTGCCGTGCGAGGGACAGCGCCGCCGTCGCCTCAAAGTGCATGGCTCGGCCGTGGCACGCGCGGCCCTGGGAATGCCAGCGCGGGCGCGGCCGCGACGGGTGGGCCCAGCACGTCGCCGCGCGCGCGGGCCCTCCGTTTCGGCAGCTGCCAAAGGCCTCGCCGAAAGGGCGCCTACACTTACGCACATTCGCCATACATGCAAAACGCGGACACGAAACATCCATACTTGCGGGGGCTGGGCTCGGCTTGTCGCTGCTCACCTTGCATCTATCGACCTAGGGCCGGCGCCTTCTAAGAAGCAGCCTCCTCCTGAAAAGCCTCCCCCCATCCCCCTACCCACGCGTTCGCGCCGCCAGGGAGGAGGGCGCGGCGCTACGGCGGGAACGACATTTTGAAAACGGACCGCCCTCATTCCTTGAAGCTCTTGCAGACTTCGCAGACGAGTGTGCGAGGCGCTACGGCGACAGCCACTCTTTGAAAAAACGTGCCGCGTTAAGTTGTCGCACATGGTGAGTTTCAGCATCAGAAGTGGCGAGGAAGTCTCAGACAGTCGTAATGGCCGCCGCCCTGTGCGCAACGCCAATCATGATTACCGCACGGCCCAGCATGCCGCGGCGGCGGCCGCGGCGGCGCGCGGAGCAGACGCTCCCGGCGCGCAGATCCCAGCGGCAGGATGCCGCGCGCGGCGGGAGCATGCCGGAGGCGGCAAGAGCTGCAGCAGCGGGAGGCGGCAGGAGCGGGAGGCGGCAGGAGCAGCAGGAGCTGGCGACAGCAGAAGCGAAGGTTGGTAGATCGCTCCTCCTCCTCCTCCTCCTCCTCCTCCTCCTCCTCCTCCTCCTCCTCCTTCCTCCTCCTCCTCCTCCTCCTCCTCCCCCTCCTCCTCCTCCTCCTCCTCCTCTCGCCTCCTCCCCGCCTCCTCCGCCACCTCCTGCTCCGCCTCCTCCTCCTCCGCCTCCACCTCCTCCTCCTCCTCTCCACTTCCTCCTCCTCCTCCTCCTCGCCCTCCTCCTCCTCCCCCTCCTGCTTCTCCTCCTCCTCTTGTTCTTCGTCTTGTGTTTATTCCTCTTATTGTTATTCCTCCTCATCCTCTTCTTATTATTATTCTTAGTATGCTTCGTATTATTCGTCTTAGTAATATGATTCGCATTCTTATTCTTATTATTATTAGTATTAATAGTATTATTAGTTGTAGTATTACTATTATTATTAGTATTATTAATACTACTATTAATATTAGTAGTAGTAGTATTAGTATTACTCGTAGTACTAGTGTTATTGGTAGTGTTTTTATTATGATTAATTTTAGTAGTATTAATGTTATTAATATTATTCGTCTTCTTCTTCATCTTAGTAGTATTGTTATTACTATTGTTAGTAGTATTCCTCCTCCTCCTCCTTCTCCACCTCCTCCTCCTCCTCCTCCTCCTCCTCCTCCTCCTCCTCCTCCCCCTCCTCTTCTTCCTC